GGTGCTTCTCTTTAAACATGTTTTTCACAAAATATAAAATATTTCAATCAAAAAATCTGATTAATTAGCTTTTTTTTAAAAAGTAATTCCTCAGATTCCCAGTTTTTTAAAAATGAATTTGCACATGCCATCAAGTTATGCTGAGGATTTCTGCACAAAATAAGACTGAATGAGGTCGGTGCTGCTCTTTAAAGATGTTTTTCACAAAATATAAAATATTTCAATCAAATAAAATCAGATTAATTAGCCGTTTTTTAAATTAATTTCCTCAGGTTCCCAGTTTTTTTTTATGAATTTGCATATGCCATCAATGAAGTCCACAATTTGCCTGCAAACAGCCACTTATGCTGAGGATTTTTGCACAAAATAAGACTGAATGAGGTCGGTGTTTCTCTTTAAACATGTTTTTCACAAAATATAAAACATTTGAATAAAAAAATCTGATTAATTAGATTTTTTTTTAAGTCATTCCTCAAATTCCCATTAAAAAAAAAAATTATTTTGCATATGCCATGAATGAAGTAACACCCAGTTATGCTGAGGATTTCTGCACATAATAAAACTGAATGAGGTCGTTGCTTCTCTTTAAACATGTTTTTCACAGAATATATAATATTTCAATCAAATAAAATCAAATGAATTGACTTTTAAAAAAAAAAAATTTGGGTCAGATTCCCAGTTTTTTAAATGAAATGGCATATGCCATCAATGAAGTCCCCAATTTGCCTTCAAACACCTTCTCCTCCAATAGAATCAGACTAACGCGGCCTCATCCAATCAGATTTCTGGAACCGGCTGGAACTGGGCAGGAAATGCCGACTCTCAGAGCTTTCTGGGGGAAGTTGTTTTGGTTTTATCTCAAATTTTGGCAGCAAGACAGCAAAGGTAAGGCAGGATTTCTGAGGCTGTTTGTTGAGCCTGAAGCAGTGTGTGTGTGTGTGTGTGTGTGGGGGTGTCACAAAGTGAATTACGAAATATGGACTCTGTGTATTTACACACTTTTAGTGATGATGGAAAACTGCTTCTGTCTGAGGGAGTTTAGCTGAAATGAGACTTTCATGGAAACATGGAATAATTTAAACTATCAGGAACTGTAAACTGGATTAGTCTGAACACTTAAAGCTGCTCTGATGGTGCTGATTTATTTCCAAACAAAATGGAGAATCGTGCACTTTCTGGAGGTCCAGTGGTTTGTTCCTTTCTTTTGGGTTTAGCTCGTCACACCAACAGTTTAGATTAAAATAATTCACTTAAAGTGTAATTGGAGCCAGAATCCAGATGCTGGGCTTATAGTTATTCCTGGATTTTATGCGTTCGTGCTGAATTCACAGAAGAAAAAAGGGAAACGGAAGCCGATTTTTGAAGGAATCTGGTCATAGTTTTTGCACATTTCAGAGGAAAAAGGAGCTTTAATCTGTGTTTGCCTCCCAGATGGCGTCAGGCCTCTGGAGAACCTGGACCGGTCAGACCACGTGACCCCGGTCAAACCGC